AAAAAAAGGATCAAATGAACCTCATGAATTTGTTCTTTCATCCGACGATCGGATGGACGATGAACAACTCCAGAGCAATAGATGTCACCACCGACAGTCAAGGGTGCAACAGCTCGATCAGTACCAAGATAATAATAATAATAATAATAATAATATTAATATTAATAATGATAATAATAATATAATGCAGTGAAAGTGAGCACACACCTGGATAGTAAACTGGATAATAAACATGTCTATTTGATTCTTTCTTCCATTTTTGTTTTTTGATTTATTACGGAACAAAATCGCAGTTGATTATTGGAAATTCAAAAAGTAGGGGGGAAAATTTGTGTTGCGATCAATCAAAGTGGGTGTATCATTTCAGGGTGAAATGAGAGACAATGAGGAAAGCGAAGATCGGATGAAATAACGGCTACTACTACTACTACTACTATCTCTGTCCGACACGAAAAGGTTGAATGAACTGTGACATTACATAGTAATGGCAAATAAAAAAAAACTCCCTCAACATGTGATGTTTAATCAATACTTCCCTAATAAATATCCCAAGTTTTATTAGATTTCCAACTATATGAATGAAAGAATGGAATGTTTTAAACAAATGATCATCAATATGATAACGAAAAGTTGCTTATGCGCCCTTCTAATAATGTAGAATTATTTGGTATATATTATCATCCATCTACTCATTCATTCTCTATTCATCATGATCAATGCAAAATTTATGATTTTATCTAAATATTAATTAACTTCAACTTCCTACTACTTATTATATTCTCGTTCAAATATATTTGAACTATATTTTGTAAATCATTCAATTTTGAATATTGGATACTACAGAAATATCGGGAAGTGGTAATGAATGAATAATAAAAGGAAGTAAGCATACGAAATGAAAATGACCTATATACCTTTAAAATGAAAAGCAAAGATTAAGTGTGTTTCTATTCTGACGTAAGAATTCCTCATAAATTATGACAGACAAACATTTCGTGTGGAACACATGACAGACAAGACGCGAACGTAAATGATGCGAGGAAACTTTAACGATGAGAGGAGCTTGGGCAAAAAGTCATTAACAAGAGTAGAAGGACAGATTTTACGAAACGAATCGGAAATAGTAACCGTTGATAAGCAGTATCATCGTAACGGATTCAACTGATGAGTACAAGCATATATTTTGTAACGGTAAGCGGAAGAAACTTCCTGCTATACATGAAGTTATTGGTGATTTGTATGTCTCAACTTTTTTTCTATCTTTTGGGCCGACATTTTCGTAAAGTTAATTGAATTAATTAAATGAATTCTTTCATTTACCATAGAGTTAGAATGGCTGTTAAATATTTCTGAACAAACAAAAGGTAAGGTAAATTTTTCCAACGAACTGGTGATTTGGTCCAATAGAACGGTTAAACTTGTAGGAAATTAGGAATGAATTTGTCAAGTAGTTCGAATCATCGATAATGCAAGCAATTTTAGATCAGAAGTTAAAAAGTCTTTTTAAATATTTGGTAACGAATGATTTGTACCTGTTGGATACAGACAATTCATTTGGTGTATTATAGGAACTCGGAATTAACCTAACCAAAATATTCTTAACATATAGTTCCAAATAAGCCTAACTCCTCAATTTTAAACTATAAAAATTTCATGTCCACAACGAGCCTTTTTAAAACATATATACCTTTTATAAATGCACGATAATTTTAATGCAAGTATTTATAGTTTTCTTGCTAGTATTTATGTAGAATTTCCTAACATTTATCAACTGAAACAAATATTTATCGACTTCCGAAAAGTTTCTACACATAGACAATAATAATATGACTTCTTCAGATATTATTGTCTATGTTGAAAACAATGAATAATGAGGAATATAACTATAGCAGCCTTATAATATTTAGCATGATCTGTATCCTCATAGCAAATAAATTGGAACGAAATTTCTATTCAAACGAAAGATTCAAGTATTTATTCTTATGAAAAAATAAACCACCGAAATAACTCTACAAGAAATCATAAAATGACCCGTTCCTCCATAGAGATAAATTGTCAATGAAAGAAAAACTCCGTAATCGGTATCGGAAAAAAGCAAAAAAAAGAGAGAAAATTCTGATGCTAAATGAAAGAACAAATGACAAGCCGGATGAGAAACAAGTTTGCCTAATTAATAAAAGATCAATTATGATGGATCGGAATTTCACTTAATTTAATTATTTTCAAACAATCCTTTATCCAATATTATCGCAATTTTTTGATATTTATTGATTTCATTGATGTTCGCTGTATCGTAGATACCATATTATTACTAACAAAAATTTCGAGTTTTCACTCATCATTTTGATGCAAACTTTTGGTTATAAAAAATTCTTTCCAATCTGTCTCTTTTTTACTAAAAGAACCTTTTTAGTCAACTTAAAAATAATTTCCGATAACAAATCAATAACATGATCAACCTTTATGTTCTGAAATCACTTCATAAAATTGTACAAAGATGATGTTTTACCAGTAATTCGAAGCAGTAAACGAATTAATCAAATAAATTACATACACCTTTATCTCTTCCTTCCCTTTTGTGTATACCTGTGGAAATTTTTCAACTAAATTTCATCTTCGCACTCCCTTTGTTACACTATAATTGACGTACTTCCGTTTTATGATTCTGCAATACATATATGGAGAAAGTGCAATTAATAATCGAATTAATTCATTAATTTATATTTCCGTTCAACAACTTAGCAACTGATTACTAACTTAACATGACTAAAGGTCAGGGTTTCATGGGTTTCAAATTTTACGTCATGCTGCGTCATACAGTGTACACCGAGAACGTAATACTTCAACACTTATTCTTCAAAACATACACAGAACACCATAATAACCTTCACACCACGCAATGCGTGCGCGTCATATCCGCCCTACGTTCACGCAAAATTAACCTTTCGTTCCTCTGACTCTCTGATTGTTCGTATAACGCGACAAGTCACATCGCCTGAATGTACGTATTTCGCAGCTACCTCGTTGCCTAACAGATTGGGCCTGCTATTTTAGTTCGAACTACGGCTCAAACTGTGATTGTACCAGGTTGATTTTGGGTGCTGGGGTCAGATCGGGTTATTTACGTTGCACTCAGGCCTTCCATTTGTTTGTGCGTTACCATTTTAGATGTATTCAGCTCAATTCATGGAAATATTTCAGAGCAATTAATATTGGATTCCGAACAAATAAGGCCTTTGATGCGCTCTATTTATGGTGTAATGGATTCACGCAGGATTATACGAACTCATTGTAACATTCATTTTTCTGAAGTGTAAATAGCACGTATCATAATTCGATCTGTTTGGTTTGGTGTAATGTCATTAGTGGAAACTGGTTGGCGGCAGTTTACATTTTTTGAGAAGCACAATGTCTATGATCCGAATAATCCCGAATGCAAATTTAACGGGTTAAAGGTTTTTCTTCAACTTTCCTTTCTTCTAATGTATGAAACTGTTTTACGGTTGGTTTTATAAGATTGTCGAAGTTTCATTATAAGAATAGAGATAGATGCAATGCTCATTATGGGATTTTATTTGCAGAATCTCAAGGCATCTCTTTCTGTATCTGGCGTTGGATTCACAGTATTCGGGGAACCGTGTGGTGCAATCTTCAAATTATCGCGTAATTTGGAGGAATATTGCTGGATTGCCCATAAACGCTCATTGGCAGATATAGCTCTTGCTGGCTTTACTCTTGGTACAGTTGGAGTAAGCTATTTAAATTTAGTTGCTTGAATTTAGAAAATTTGTTCAGTCTTTCGCGATCAACTCGTTTGATTTCGCAAGTTTTCGAAGTTTTCATTATTCAAATTGATTAATTCCAATATTTTGATTACACTGAACATTATTTAAAAGGACATACAATTGATGAAACTTGATGACCGAAAATCTGAAAAGGAGTTAAGGACGATAAATTGTTAGCTATATAAAAATATATGTGTAGGTACTAAAACTTTAAAAAAGCGAAATTAGAAATAAATCGAAAAATGGGCCACGCACATACTTTCTTTTATCAGTTGTGAACCAAGAGAGGCAACAAGCAAGTCCTGCTTTGCTGTCAAAATGTTAACAAATGCTAAAACTGAAAAATCTAAAGCAAAAACGGAATGAAAAAACGACCAATTTGCAGGAAGATGAAGATGGGATTAACTCGTTAGTTAAATTGTGGCAATTAGATCGAATTGAGAAAGATGCACCATTTTGCATACGCGTGATACGTGTCTGTCCTCTGTTAGGCGTTGGACGTAGTACGCGGGCATGTGCCATTGCGTTACACTCATCTTTACAACATATCGCTGTCGGCTTCGTTGATTCTTCCGTAATTTATTCTACAAGTAATATCAAAGAAAAGTGAGTTTCAGCTGCTTCATAACTTGCTCATTATTGCTTAAGAAATTATTAGAATTAGCTGTGAAGTTGGTTGAAATATTTTTTCTTCTTGCAGATAGATTTACGTTTCAGTGTCATTGTCTAGCACAATTTTTTTGGGAAGTTGGGTCATTTTTCATGCAAGCCTAAACTTAGGGAGGTATAACAACATCTTTTATCAGTTGTGAACCAAGAGAGGCAACGAGCAAGTCCTGCTTTGCTGTTCATAAGATGGCGCATTTAATCACTGTGGGAATCAAGCAGATATGTCGAAAATATTTTCCAGCATATGTTTCATGCATTTTATGACTTTTGAGAGATCATCTTACAATGGAATTTTAGATCAGGCAAATGGCTTACTGTGGTTAATGGTTCAAGTTCAGGACCAGGCGACGAAATAACAGGTCTTTATCTTACATGGGTTGCCTCTCAGGATTTCTGTATTTTATATTGTTTAACGCCGACATCTGTATTGTCTTTTTCAATTACCAACAAAACTGTTGCAAATAAGGTATAATTTAACTATTTTTTCTTATTTTTTTGAATTATATGAGTTCTTTTAAATACGAAAATAATACCGAACAAATTCTTAATTTTTTACAGTTTGGATTTACTTAATGTTTTCATTTTTCTAGAGTGTTAAATGATGAAATAGATCTTTTTTAAGGTTGTACACGATGCGAAAGGTTGTCTTCATGACTGCTGGAGTTTTAATGAAACACGCAATCAACTTATTGTGGGTAGTACTGAGGTTTGTCTAAATATATATTCGTTTGTGCTTAACTAATTAGTTTCACGTTTTGTTACTTTCAAGTATAAATGGCATTTTGTTAACATAAATGATTTGTCTTCACAAACGTTATATCTTATAGATGGTACACTTCTATGAAGCAGAACGGAGTTTGGCTGCTGATCCTGATAGTGGTAGGGGTCGTTGCCATGCCCTTGGTCGAAGCAATGAAAAGATTCAATTAATTGCATTTGATCACCATGTTGCATTGCTTACACGACAGCCAACTGCTATACCGTTAGTCTTCGAATTTAATTCGTCAAATAAAAAGGAGGAACTCATGATGTTGTCACTTTTTTCAAGAGTTTGTTAGTTACTAAAGCTTACCTGCACTATTTCAGCCTCTTTAATCTATAGACAGATCATGAAAATTTCAACATTTGCTGCAGGTCATCAAATGAAATGTGGACATATGTTGTCTCAATATACGACACTGAAGGACAATGTGTTGCATTTTCGTGTGCCCTTCCAGCTGTTTCAAGGATGTTTTTAATGGATAATGTGTTAATGGTTCTTAGTCAAGACGGAACACTTTCAGTTCTTACAGAGAAAAATATCAGCTCGAAATTGGATATTTTATTCAAAAAAAATTTGTATGATCTCGCGGTTGGGTGAGCCATTCAATGCCTTCGATGTTTTATACTCTATTTTCTTTAATTGTTTGCATTCTTTTCCTTCATTCTCTATTTTGCCACTTTTTACTTTTCACATTACAGGGTTGCTAAGAGAAGTTCAGTTGCTTCGGAACATCTCCCTGAAATTTATAAGAAATATGGTGATTATCTGTGCAGGTATGTGAATCATTGTACGTAGACTTAAATAATTTAACTTGTTTTTGTTTTCTGAAATGATTTATTCTAGAAGTGGGGATTTTGAAAACGCAGTGCAACAGTATACGGAAACTGTCGGATACCTAGAGCCATCATATGTTATTAGAAAGGTCCTCTTTTCAAATAATTCCCTGTTTTCACAATTTACGAATCGTGCTAATTTTTACGTGACTTCATTTCATCGTACTGATAGAAGAGACCAATTATATTTTCATGCGGAATAATTTTCAGTTTCTGGATGGTTCTCATAGAAAAGAATTGTGCATGTATTTAGAAGTGCTTCACGCTAAAGGTAAGGCGAATAGTCATCATACGACCATATTATTGAACTGTTATATCCGTTTGGCAGCACATGATAAAATTCGTGATTTTATTGACCGTGATTTTGAGTGCAATATTGAAACAGCTGTTCAGGTACCTTTTGAAATTTTAGGAACTAAATTAAAAAAATGTTCGTATCGTTTATATACTGCAACACGTGAGATAGTCGAAAATCAAACTGTAGAAATTTCGATACTACTATTTTTTATCAAAGAAGTATTTGATTATTAAATTCAAATTGACTCATCATAAATCAGTCTGCACTTTTTTTGGGAATTTTATATCAGCATTCTCAATCTAGATCCGTTCCTTGGCATTGCAGTGCATGAATGCTCTAAGTGCAGCTTTATAGTAATTGGCAAAGGAATCAATAGTACTCATTCCAACTATACTATTTGATTATCGTATGCTAAGTTGTGTTTGTCTCGTCCCCCAAGCACAACTTCGTTAATAACGTCAAGGAAATATGTTGCGAACAATTAGATTATTTTCCACTTAGTATCTCAATTCGCTCTCGATTATTGATAAATTTAAGATTAATAAACAAAAAAAATCAGTTTTAAATGCCTAAAATATAGGTACTTCGTGCGGCAAATTTTACTACGGAAGCATGTCATCTCTGTGCGAAACATAAACAGCATGATGCGCTATTAAGCATCTTAATCGAAGATCGAGGCGATTATAAATCTGCACTTAAATATATTTCCAAATTGGAAATTCCTCTGGTTTGTTTTTTTTTTACTTTGGTTTATAAGCAATAATATTTTAATCGAAGTATCGGATGCTTGATAACCATTGTGGTTTCAAATTCAGGTTGAAGCATGTTTGGAAAAATTCGGAAAATGCTTACTGGTAAACAACCCTGAGGAGACGATGAAGCTATTATCGGATAAAGCTTGTTTCAGTTGGTGTTTGATATTTGTTAATTGACAAAGTAGGGGGACAGCGTTGTTACGATTTCGTGGTTTAGTGCTTTCTAAGGTGCAGCATATTTAAAACTTTGTTCATTAGTCGTTTTATATATTGAATGTTGAATGTTTTATATGTTGAATGTTGAATGTTGACATATGTTGAACATATTTGCTGCCAAAATAGCGAAGATCGAAAGTGAAAAAAATTTTAGGCCAAATCAACGCTCCTGCCTTGATGAAAGTATTCATTGGATTACCTTCGCAATGTAGCAGATTTATAGAAACAGCACTGAAGGTGATGTTCATAAATCTGAATCTTTTTTTTGACTATGATGTTTCCAGTCCAAAGTAATTCAGATCCAGTAAATAATATTTGATGATTCGGACATTATATAAACATAATAAATTAGTACTAGATTAGACGTGGTATTATTGATTAGATGACCACTTTTTTTTTGTTTCCTATTCGTTTTAATTCTTTTTGCAGGACAAGAAAAATAATGAAAAATTGCGTAATTTATTGTTGGAACTTCGTCTTCGTCAGTGGGCACTGCGTAACGAGGTTTTTTTTATTCGGTTTTAGTTCTAATAGAGAAATATGGTTATAGTTTATTGATGATATCGATCTTTTTATTATTCAGCATGACTCTTTTATTTACGTTTTGTTTTCTTTATGATCAAGAAATCTAATTCCTATGTTTCATGATGTGCCTAATCATGATGAGAACATTATGGAATTGATCGGAGACGAAAATTTGGAGGAGTCCTTGAAGTTGTGTCAATTATTCAATTATATCCCAGGAATTATTTATATATATAAGAAGATGAAAAGGTGATTTTCTGAAGGTTATTGGTAGTGAAATACTCATAATTTCCAGTATTGTAATCCATCAAAATGAATTTTATAGAAACGATAAACTTATCGAATACTATATGCGACAAAACAAGCTCAGAGAAATTGTTAAACTTTGCGAGGAAGAAAAGTTCGTTTCAATTTTTTGCTTATCCAGTGTGGGTGCACGAGTTAGGCAAATTTGTGTTTTTTTTAGCTGTTGCAATAGCTTCAAATCGAACAAAAGGCAATAATTTTCGTGTTTTCAGTAGTCGTAACCTATGGATCGACGCGGTGGTATTTGCTTCACGTGGGAAGAATATAGATTCCGGCGCAGTAAAGTTTTTACTTGAACGGTTCGATTCATTAGTGTTAATTTTCCTGATTAAAATATAATTTGTTTTCTATTGAGTTCATTTATTTACTTTCAGAATCGAAGCAACGAATAGTATCCATCCACTTGTGGTTCTCGAAATTCTTTCCAAAAGTGATGAAATTTGTGTTGGCCACGTGAAAGATTATATTATCAATTGGATGGAACGGCAAAATGCTCAGGTATTCTTCATAGATTACAATATTTACAAGTTTCTATACTTTCATTTGTTCAAGAATTTCTTGTTTTGCTTTAACTTTTATGATAGAGTTCTGATAACTAATGCGGTATGTATTTTCCTTTCAAGCAACTGTTAATCACTAGGCTATCCATTGTCGAACTGATAAGGAATAAATAGTTTTATTCCGTAATTATTAATAAATGAATATTTAGGTCGAGAAAGACGAAAGAACAATTGTTGAAAACGAAGCGAAAATGGCCGAAATTGAGGAGCAAATTGACAATATTACTTACAAGTTTGTATTTTGAGATTAAGCTCTTACGAGCCATTGGTCCAAGTAATTCATTGCGTCTTCTGGTTCGAAAATCAGTTGTTTGGTTTTGCAGGGTGCAAATTTTTCAAATGAACAAGTGTTCTGCATGTGACACCTCTCTTCAACTACCTGCTATACATTTCTTATGCAAACATTCCTACCATGCTCACTGTTTAGAATCTTATAGTGAAAAGGCTGACTACTGTCCAGCTTGTATACGAGACAAGTTTAACGAAAGGTTTATTTCAATAATTATTTGGTTCTTCAGTTGTAAAATTTCGTGTCATTTCAGAAATTTAGAAAAGATTTGATGTAATTTGCATGCATTTACAAGGTATTGATTAACTTTATGGATTTTTAGGATACAAAGTGATAAACGGCAAGATTTCTCCACGCATAGCGCTTATATTCAATTTCAAAATGAGGTATACGCTTGAAAATCTCATTTGTTTATTAAATAAGCCAAAATGAAAAAGAGTAATATATCACTGGATAGGACAGTCGAGTAGCGTTATACAGATTATTTAGTCCACATGACACGTAATTTCAGGTAAACGAATCAGTCGATTGTATGAACCTCATTTCTTCATATATTGGCAACGGACTTTTCGATCCGTGGTCGAAAGAAAAAGGGTCCAAGAATGAAAACGATTTAGCTAGTCCTCAATCGGATACTACTAATGTGTCGAACAGAATGAATCTGAATCAGGTCGAGGGTCAATCATTCAGAAAAACAAATTTGATGAACACATCGGCACGTGATCCTTTTCTTACTCCAAAAACGATGGATTCACATACGGTAAAATCTGTGCGATCCACTAATCCTTTTGATATTGTTGACGATACAAAGAACCCCTTTGAAGATTTGTAATTACTACTGTGCAGAAAATTTTGAGTTTTATCCAGAGTACGGGGAATATATTCTTCTGTATTTCGGAAGTTTTAAATTTATATGATCAGCAGTCATAATCTCAATTTTATTACCTCTGGTTTCTTCCATGATTAGTGGGCAAGAATGGATATAAATGTCTCATTACGATTTGTCTTCATTTTACAAACTGCGATATAACTAGTCTTGTGTTTCAATATTTGATAAAATCATTTTTTTCAATACCAAAATTCACTCCAGACTTAATTATAATGCTAGAACTAAGTCTTATCATTTCTAATCAGTAATGCAATCAGTTTGCGTGTTGACAACATCGATAATAAAATCACCAAAAATCATACTCTTTCTGCAAAAATCATACTCTTTCCTCCTGCATTACTTACGCAAGAAAAGATTTGGAAGAGAAATGAACCAATGCAATTAAATGGTTTGTGTTCTTAGAAGCAATTGTTAATGTTCATTTTTAAGATGCCTATAACTCGATTGTCATCCGTTGTTAAGAAGTCGCCGTAATTCCTTCCATATTGCCAGAATTCTCATTCTGTGTTTTGAAGAATACTTGGCGGATACCCCTATCTTTTTGCTTTCCCGTATTAAATTGAGAGTGATTTTCTACAACACTGGAAGAAAAGCGATTCTTTAGTCTCGAGGTTTATTTGCAACGATATTTTCGTTCATGATTCTGGAAAAGCTTGATGGATTTTATACCAAACTTTTACAGGTCCTGGTAGCTCGCTTTTCCCTAGTTATCAGATGCAGAAAATTCCAAATTGAATCAGAACTATTGTCAATTAAAAAGTTCAGCTGGACAATTAAATTTTAATTCCACTAATTATAATACATCCCTCTAGTTTGCCTAATCTCGAATGAAATACTTCACACTAGCGAAGCATACCAAAAATTGACATGACAATGAGCTGTTTTCCTCCAATAATTCCTTTTTCTTCTGAATTTTGATTTCCCGACAAATGTGAAGTACTTGCTGCATTTTCTCTGATGGCAAAATCAAATATCTACATGTAATTTCAGCAGCCTTTCAATAATTTGCTTATTTCTGTTAAAGAGTAAAAAGTTTCTGAGCAGTATTAATGAAACTTCGGCTAAAAATTATAGTGCTAGATTAAATTTGGTAGCCATCCTCGATATATGATTTCAGAATTCCTCGGAATCCATAGTTTTAGGGTTCAAACATTTGAAAAATGCATATATTCGAGAATTTCGAATAACAATGGCGATTTCGGATTAACAACTGTAACAAATCGCCATTCATTCATTATTCATTTGTTATCTATTAGATATCCTAGTCTTGAAATTAATATAAATTTAGAATAAGGCAATTTTGCTTAAGATCAAATAAATCTTTAACCTGTTATTGATATTAGAAATCGCCTCTAACTTTCCTTATCGAATTATTATTTAAAGATTACTGACATCATTCTGATATCCGACACATCTCTTCTCTTATATTGTGTTGATTTTACTAGTCAAAATCCTTGTTGCTATTATATTACAAAACATAAATCATTCTAAGTAAATTGAGATAAGAAAAATATGTATCATAATTAGGCAACAATATATGTCATATTGTATGACAATAGATAATTTTGGTTCATCATAGAATTTCCCTAGTATTTTTTTGATATTTCATTTTCTCCTTCAGTACAAGATTTATATAAATGGTTAAGATTGGAGTTATTAAGTAACCAAATAAAATTGATGAACCAAAAATTAGAATGCAAAAAATACAAAATAATAATCAAAATCACTGTAATAATCATCATTATCATCATCATCATCAAGAAAAAAAGAGTATTATAATGATGTGAAAATGATAACATTAAAGAGGGAAGGAAGGGAGCGCTATCTGAAAGTCGTAACACATGATGAGCTAATTTCAAACTTTTTGATAAGGAAAAAAAGAAATTTATAAAATGCAAAAAACTTAAATGCTATGATGAAAAATAGAACAATTTTTAATCTCCCGATATATTCCCATCCTTGATTTACTACCTTTTTTGTTTTTTGTTTTTATCCTTTTTGTTTGATTGATTAAAAAAAATTTGATGAAATTTCATCATGTAGAAAAATGATGAAATTTCAACTTGATTCTTGAAAATTCAACAGGATAATTTCAAATTAAATTAATCAAACAACTACGATCGTGTAAATTATTATTCATTAAAGCTGAATTCCTCTCATGTAATAATGGTTAATAAAAATATTAATAGGGAAACAAAATTTCGTATAAAAATAAAAGAATTATTATCAATTAAATATAACTTATAATATATATTGAATTAGATGTTATTTCAAACTAAAAATTTAACAAAAATAAAATCATTCTACTAAGAGAACATTTGGTAAGTAACATGGAATAAGTCTAAGCTGACTACTGACAGTTTTCTGAGACAATAATAAATGTTAATGATATATATATATATATATATATATATATTAATCATACAAATTTAATTGATGCTGTATCTTTTGAAATATTATCTATTCGATTTTCTTCGTCGAATCTTGCGGAATTTATCCCTGAAAATATGCTATTAATTAAAAAATTAAATTAAACAAAAAATCGCAAAATTTACTTTAGTTGTTGTGCTTATTAGATTATAATAAAACAAAACAAAAAAAAAAAGAAAGATTTTAGATAGGAAAAATTGAAAACATTCCGAAAACTTAACTTTTTTAATTTCAAAAATTTCGAAAATGACAAATCTTCTATGAGCAAATGCTGTACTTATTAAATCATTTGCTTAAAACAATTGAATAAACGACATTATATTTCCGAATAAAAACTATTTGGTAACAGTTCAATGTTATTTGCTAATGAAATTTATTTGAAAAATGAAATAATGGGAAGAAAGAAAGAGCATAACAGGTATTTTCAATATTTCAAATAATAGCTAATTTAAAAAGAAAAAAAGAAAACCTTTAAGAATGTGCGCATTTTCAAAACATTAAAAGAGTACTGGAAATAAAGACTATATTTTACTAATGCTATACAGGTAATTCATGCATTTCATAGGGTAAGTTAATTATTGGATAGTTCAGGTAAGTAACACACAGCAAAGTTCACTTTTCGTTTCGAACATATTACTTATAGGACTGGAAAAGGAAGAATATTTTTTTAATGCAAAATATATAGCATTAAAAAGAATAAATTTATTCTTTCTTTAATTTAAAAAAAGAAATTTCATTTATAATTTAGGTGCGATGAAAAAAGAACAAAAATATTTTTAGGAAAATATTATTTTAACAAAAATATCAAAAATATTTAAATTTTTTTGGTATTTCTCGAAATGAATTTGTATTTGTTTGTTAGCAAATGAAAATTAATTTTAAAATTTAGTAAAACAAAAAATAAATTTCTCTTTTTTTCTTTAAAGGAAAAAACAGAACTTCGTTGTTCCTCTCTTTCACGTGCAAGTTGTAACCTATGATAACTGGCACGTAAACGTTCGGCAGTTGAAGTTGTTAACGAACTGGGATGAGCAGTACATGCATTCGTTTGAAAAGCTCGAATAACACGCATCTGCAAGACTGCGTTGTTCAGGTTGCAAACGCATTAATTCAAATCAAACATGCTATATAGTAAATGATATTAAATTACTGCAAAACTATATCATATCATATTTCCTAGATATCATCGTACACCACAACGAAAAATACGGTTTATATAACAACAAATGCTAAATTATACATATATATATCGTGCAATATATAGTTTATCCTATTCTTCGATATTAACAATACATTTATTAGATATACAGATTTGACCTTTTACTCTTTTTTTTCCGTCTCTTCAATTCCTCGTATTCTCCTCAAATTTCAATGTGTAAAAATAGCCATTATATTAAAACATATAGTTATTCCTCTCTTTTTAATAGTTATTAAATATTACAGTATAAAATTATTTATAAAAAAAAGAAATTGATCGCTTTCTTATTAAGGATAAAAATATTTTTCCTAAAATTGAATAATTTTGAAGTTTTAAAAGTTCAAAAATTTACATCGAATTTATTATTTGCTACAATGATAGCTCATATAATAATAAATTATGGTACTATACTGGAAATGTAGAAATTAGAAATTAATTCATTAATCAATTCTAATAAATTTAAATGATAATAAAACGGATAGAAATGCTAATCTAAAACAAATTCACTGCAAAGTATCATAACCAAATCACATTTCTGATTTATAATTGGCTATAGCTATCAATCGATTGTGATCAAGAAAAGTGAAAAGTGATCAGGCAAAAAAAAAAGACAAGACAAACATGCGTGAAAAATCAAATGATAAGATAGACCTGTGTTTGCAATCGTGTCAATCCAAGAAGCCATAACATTTGACCAGGCCTTTTTTGATCTTCCTTTATTATGCCTTTTACAAGGCCATCACTTGTATCATATTCACCAGTAACTAAGACTGAAGTTGGCTGAACTTCACCACCACCAAATGAGAAGAATCTAGGGAGCACTTTACTTGGTATTGTTGCTAGAACCTATAAATTCTGGCAACTATTACTTACAGTATTATAATTGAAATTTTTGCAAAATTATTCATGTAATTTAAGCAAAATTTAAAGAAAAAAAAATAAGATGTAATTTTTTTTTTTAAAAATTAATAAAATCTAATCATTTATACAATTTGTTTATTAAAACAAACAAACCTGGCCCCATAAAAGAGTACCAAATGCACAGGCTATACAAACAGCCCAGTGAATTTCATTCAAAGGAGCTGTTGAAAACCATGCACCACCAAATTGTACAATTAACACCTGGGAAATTAGCGTTAAAATCCAAATAATACAAAATAATGGATTCGTAAAAAGGCCCTGAAATACTACAGAAATTTTGATAAACATGCAAAATTTGAACGAGTAAAATTTTATGTGTGAAACATCCCATGTGAATAATAATAGTTTATAAGAGTATAATAAGCAGACTGAAACAACCTTTTAAATGATGAAATCGGTGAAATGATAAAATTAGAAAATTTAATTTCCTTATGAAATTTACAATAATATACAATGCGCAATAACTTAAGCAAACCTTAAAGACATTTCTCTCTCCATGAACCTTTCGTGAATTAATTTCATTCATTAAAGTCATCAAAACGAAAGCATTGAAAATTATAGTGAAATGTTTTGAGGGTGGTGAATTAAGCGGTGCCCAACGTCCACTTTCCACGCCTGGGATGAATTTATCACCTAGAAAAGAAGTTGAAGTTTTAATTCATATATCAATAAAAGTTTGGATAATTCAAGCAAACTTTAAAAAATGTTAATTGACAACTTAAACATCCAAAATTTTCAAAATTATTCCAATTAATTAAAATGAAATGAAATAAACAATAGGAGAAGATAACATTAGTAATCAATCTAAACTATCATCATATCAAAAATTTGATTACTTACCCCAAAAAAGAATAGCAAACAAAATGGCTAGTTGAAAAATGGCATGACCAACAATATTTTTAACCATTGTTCGCGAAATAAGTGACTTTGTACGTCCATAAGGCTTACGTTCCAATAAACTTTCCGTTGGCATTTCTGTAGCCAATGCTAATGAAGCCAACGTATCCATAATCAAATTTACCCATAACATTTGTACAGCCTAAAAAATTAATATGCTTAATTAAAATAATTAAAAGAAAATCATTTATGTAATTTTTTAATTTAAAAATTAATTTTTCGTTTTTTTTCCCTTTTTTTTTCGAATAAATTATTTTGAAAATTTTAGGATAAATTAATTTCTTTTAAAAATTTTCAAATAAATTAATTTTTTAAATTCAATAAATTTAAAAAAGAAAAAAATGGTAAATTACTTTTAGAGGAGAATCATTTATTGCACAGGCACCAATAAATGCAATTGTAACAGCAACAACATTTACTGTTAATTGAAATTGTAAAAATTTTGAGATCGAATCATACACATTACGGCCCCACATGACCGCTTTTACAATGGATGTAAAATTATCATCAGTTAGAATGATATCTGATGCTTCTTTTGCAACATCAGTTCCAGCAATACCCTGAAATTTTATTACCTTTTCTTTCTTATCAAAAATATATCTAATAAACAACAATGCTTTTGATCGATTTTAAAATTACTCATTACTCTTCAATTACTTTTTTACAATGTATAATATTGCTCACTTACTTCACAATTATTTACCACGATTGTTTATTGTCTTATCAGCGATACTTATGGCTTATCACTATCTCGTATTCAAAGTGCCGATAAATGTAGTTGATTTCTTCGAAAAGCTTTTTCCACCTACCATTGCAAATCCAACATCAGCTTTCTTTAAAGCAGGCGCATCATTTGTTCCATCACCAGTGACAGCTACCACTTCTCTATAATTATTCATATCTAAATATCCAATTTATGATCGTGTTTGAAGCTGCCGGAAGATAATAAAACTATATTAAATCCTTTGCTCATACACAACAGATTGTTCTTATAAATATAATCCTAGGCAGGAAATTCAATTTCCCATAATTAAAATGAAAACGATAATTATTATAAAAATATATGATTACTTTTGAAAATATTATAAAAATAAGGAAGAATGAAAGATTTAATTGATGCCAGCCTTAATGATTCGTAATATTTTTTCAATATTGAAAAAATTTTAATATTGAAATTAATGAGTAAAACAAAATATTTTGGAAATTACATTTTTACCTGTTCTTCGAAGATTTACTGTCAATAATTCCTTTCACGAGAACATATTTATCGGTTGGCTGTGCGCGAGCAAGTACTCGTAATCTTGGCCAAATTGCGTCAAATTTTGCTTGATTCACTTTACCATTTGCATCACGGATTCTAAATGCTTCTACTATTACTATCGGTCAAGTTTTAACTTCTGAAATTTGTTTACAGAAGTATTTTTTAATTCTTTGATAATCGCTTCGAACAATAGATTTTATAGAAATTAAATGATTGTATTGTTTAGAAGTATTTTCAATTCACATATTGTGAGATTCGAATTTTTGTGTCATCAATAATAAGCGATGAATTTTAGAAGTACTTGGACAGTTTTAATATTACTTACGTGACAACTTAAATTGATTCCTTATGACTCACCAATTTTGTGAACAAGCAAAATTTTTCTTATCATATGAGTAAAAGATTTCAGAATTAACTTGAATTTCAGCTTGAACTCAAAACTTCCTCTCATAAAATCATACCTCTCATTGAATTCTCTTCCCTCGAGAACTAGGAAACCACTTCCAGGTTTTAAAATACCACAACTGGTAGCAATTGATCGTGCTGTATTGACGTTATCACCAGTGACCATACGAACAGTAATACCTGCTTTTTGGCATCGCTCAATTGCAGCTGGAACTTCCGGTCTTACCGGATCTTGTATGCCAATGATAGCTATCACAGTCATTTCCATTCGCACTGCCTCTTCATCTTCCCAATCAATTTCACCTTCATATACTGTCTATAATTTCAGTCCAATGAATATTTTGCCCGATTAGGGCGGCAAAATATTCGCCGGACATAGTACAATTGTATTTCCGAAATGGAATTAGAAATAAATTTGAATTGTTCTACAGTTTGTTAAATTCACAGAGAGATGAAAATTACATCATTTTCAGCAGCCGCTTCAGCGTTTGATATATAATCCTTGTAAGCAATTCCAATTGTTCGTAAACCATCAGAAGCCATTGGTTCGATAACATTTCGTGTCATTTCCTGTTGTTGTTCGTAATTAAACGGTTTCACCTTTCCATTAGGACCAAGCAAATAGGAACATCTTGAAAAGTTGAATTTAATTTCAGTAATTTCAATTTAGCAATCCTATTAAATATTTAATAACTTCAATTTGATTCCAACAGTATTAATTATTATTCCTAATTAATATGCATTTCGCATAGCTTATAGAATAATTAGTAAATCAATGAATGGAACTAACCTGGATAAAATAATTTCCGAAGCTCCTTTTGCATAAACTCGATAACCATTTGTAAGTCTTTTCACAGTCATCATTGATTTCCTTACCGAATTAAATGTATAAACCTAAAAATATCATATTAATTAAAAGTTTCATTGGTACTTTTTTTTTTAATTAAAAGTTTTATTAGTATCATTAGAAGTTTAATCATTAATTAACTTTATCAAATTGTTTTAATCCGAAAATCATTCCATATGTAATTCAATATGCTCGATTAATATAATCTATGTATTCGAGAATCATTCAGTCTTTTCTTTAATAAGAAATTCTTCAACTAACCAACTATTAAAGAAAAAGAAACAGGTGAAATAATGCCAAAATGTGAATTACTAAATAATTAAAGTTTGATAAAATTTAATTGTTTTTAAATTCATTCAAATGAAACAAAAAAACAAAAACCTTAACAAGTGATTCCTCGGGATGTTCCCGGCGTATATCCTCATAACTTTGACCTAAATCAATTACAAATCCCAAAAGTGCGCATTCTGTCTTATTTCCAAGCTATAAATCATTTTAAAATAAATTCCTTTTATCTACAAAATTTTATCAATTCTAAACATTCCTTTGTTTTTAGCATAATAATAACTTAAAAAAAAAAAAAAAAGAAGAAGGAAAAATTAGTTTTTACTAATTTGAATGAATGAATTCGGTAAATTGTGAATAATTAAAATTAACCTGTGTCCTTTGTAAGCCAGGTTTTTCAGATTCTATCACCTGTGAATTATAACCACTATTTATGGAAATTCCTTCAATCAATAGCTGACGTGTTTTTTCATTTAATTTTTCAAATTTTGGAACACATTCTTTGTAAAAATTTCCTAAAATTGTAAAAATTTTTGTAGAATTTATTCTTTCATTTAAATAGAAATTATAAAACACACAAAAAAGAAATTCTCATTAAAAAAAAAGTATAATATTTTAATAAGCATTATTTTAATATTTAAATTAATTATTTTAATTATGAAAATAATCGATTTAGAAAGAATTTAATTAAAACGTTAGCGATAATTAATTCATGAATATATAAATTATGGAAAGATATTATTATTTAAAAAAAAAGAAATGAAAAAAAATGTGGAAGCAAAAATATTCGGCAAATTGTAATATCAGTTGAATTGGATGGATGATACGATAGTTTTAGATAGCAATTAAAATTTGATATATTCATCAATGTTATCGGCCATATTTTAAATTAGTAAATCTTTAAATACCATTGATAAAAAATTGTACAGCGGTCATCCGATTAGTTGTTAAGGTACCCGTTTTATCGGAACATATTGAAGTTGCATTACCCATTGTTTCACAGGCATCCAAATGTCGCACCAAATTATTATCTTTCATCATCTGAATTGAATAAAATATAACGAATTTTTATTATGAAATAACATATTTATGTTATAAATTTAAGATATCTAAATTAGAAAATTCACATTCTAATTTATCAAAATTTTAAAATTAAAATTTTAAATTTCATAAAAATAATATAATCAGCCATTATATTCAAAATATTTTTCAGTTTCCATAAAAAAACAAATTTAACTAGTCGAAAAGTTTAAAATAAATAACGAAATGATTGAGTGTTATGCATGATTGTATTCAGTACACAAACTAATTATACTGAAAATATAATTGTATTCTCGGTAATTCCGGTTATAAAGAAATATTGTATGAAAATTTTGTAAAATTTTTCGTTACCTTTTTAACGGAATATGTTAGCGAAAGTGTTATTGCAAGAGGGAGACCTTCCGGAACAGCAATTACAAGTACTGTTACACCAACTATGATAAAATTAACAAAATAAGAAAAATCAGAAGGCTTAAATGCTTCATGATTTATTCCATAATGAGTTATGCAATGTCGTACAATTAGTATTACAACAGTTGCTCCAGCTACTATAAAACCTGAAAATTATAATTCATTTTTTCTTGCCACTTTTTCTCCCTTTTATTTTGAAATGATTAATAAGTAAAATTCCAGAGGAATTCCGGAAATCTACATATTTTTCATCATCACTATTATTAAATAGGAAATGCAAGAACAAACCCATATAACCAATTTGAATAGCTAATGATGATAATTTCCCCTGTAATACTGATTTCGATAATTTAGAATCATATTCAGCAGAATCAACAGATTGCTTTCGTTCAATTTCTGATGTCGTACCTGTCAAAATATTTTTAAATAAAAAAACCTGTAAAAATTTAAAAGTACACTAAATGCTTCATTGCACTAAGAAATTTCAGGTAAATTTATATAATTAAAACTTTTTACTTTTAGTAAGTTTCCGAGAGAAAAAAACCTTAATTATCAATAATAAATAACTTTAAAACAAATTGTTCTTTCAATAAGAATATATTGAGTTAATATTAATTTCAATGATATGAGATATAATAAATTTGCTATTAGTATTCCTATTGAAACAAAGAGTATTATCAAAAAAAAAAAGAAAACTGTTAAAGGTAAATGGAATGTTTAATAAATAATTTAAATATGTTGATTATTCTTACTCAAAAAATTATTTTAAAAAAATCATTGTTCAAAATTATTTCAATAAAAAAACACCTTTAATTTGTTCTTCAGGTGCAACAGCATTTGAACTATTATTCTTGATAGCGGTAGATTTCGCTGCACCAAGCAATGTCATTATGATACCAGCTTGTGAATGTATTCCAACAGCTGTTATAACCATTTTTCCACTTCCTTCCATTGCATGCGTACCTAAATATTTAGTTCTTTTTTTTTTGAGAAATAATTAAATAAAAATTTTAATTAAATCAAAAATAAATTAAAATTTTTTTCTCAAATTAATATTGACTGCGAGAATAATAATAATAACAATAAATTAAGGAATGAAAAATTTGGATAAAAATAAAAATTACCTGAGAGAAGTACAGGATCACTTTCAACACTTTTTCTGATCAAATCTGATTCACCGGTCAATGATGATTCGTCCACTTTTAGATCATTACTTTGTATTAAAAGTCCATCAGCTGGTAGTAAATCACCTGAAATAAAAATAAAGGAAAAAAAACTAGATCGAAATGTTATTCCGTACATCGTTCAGTAATTCGATTTAGAGAAAAAGAAGTACGAAATTACAGAAATGTCATACCATATTTAACCCGTGCAATATCACCAACAACCAACTCACTAACAGCAGTATCAAATGCTTCACCATTTCGTATTACAGAAAATTTATGTTCTGTTTCTATTTTTGATTGTAATCCTGAAATGCATCCTTTCCTCAGGAATAAATTCGTATTTTCTATTCTAATTAATTTCATTATTCAATATTATCAATGAATAGTCTAACTTATTTCAGTGATATCATTATTATCACTCAATGACGGAAAAACCTCGAAATTGCTTTTCTTTGCTCCAATCATTTAAAGCTGTAACCAAAACCACAACAATAACAGCAAGTAATATAGCTGCTCCTTCGATCCAACCGGCTTCATGTTCATTAGCATCACGTTCACCTGAAAATAATGAATTTCAAGGTAGCTAAATAAAAAAAATAGGTTAGCCAAAAAAAAAAAAAACAAAAATAAATTAGGTTATTAGAATTGTTACATCAAAATATACAACCGATAATGTACATGCTTTTGATTTACTGATGAACTTTTACTGATGAAATTTACTGTTGAACATTAGTTTCACGTGTGAACCACTTAATTTTATAATATATAATTAAAATGCAAAAAGAAAAAGAAATACCTGCTACTATATTTTCGGGTGGTTTATAAAAGGATAGGCCTAAAGATACAAGTGCTGAGACCAACAATATAATAAGCGTTATATCCTAAAATTTACAATGTAACTAAAAATTTTCCATGTTAAAAATTTTATTCTTCGAAACTTCAAAACAATTATCAGGATTTCGTTGTAATTAACAGTTTAATTAAATAGATTAATGTAACACTAGATGATCATTACCTGCAAAGCTTCCCATGCTAGCCGTAGAAAAGATTTTGAAGGTGCCGGAGGAATTTCATTACTTCCAAATATCCTTCGCCTTTCATCCAATGATGATTTTTTGTCAGATAATCCATTTATTGGATCTGTTTTTAATTTTGCACATAAACCTTCGATACCACCAAATTTCTTGTTCACCTATCAGAAAATTCATTCTCATTTTGAACAGTAAAAGAATGTAGTTCACAGTAATTCATAAAATATTTTACTAAAGTTTTCACCAATCTATTAATTACTATAAAAATCAAATTGGCAATCATTTACTTTTAAACAAAGATCGATTAATGTGTAGAAAATGATGAAAATCGATCGAAAATTACTACAATGAATATAATTATCCAAAGGTGCTAATTAGCATAAAAATGAGAACTTTTTTTTTCTTTAATTATAGATTAATTATTAATACTTGAAATAGCAATTTAAGTAATTTACACTAAGAATTAACATATCAAATACAAAAACTTTGGAAGAACAAGAAAACCTAATTTTATAAATTTTTTCAAAACATACTTGTGCAAGAGCTTCACCATTCCGAAGATCCATCAATGCGCGAAGTTCGGATAACGTACATCCGAACTCGCTTGCCATCATACCTGTTTACAGGTAATCTCCACAATTTTTTCTTATTTATTAAATATCAACTAGCATTCATCCATGTACAGCTAATTTCAAATAGGAAAACGAAAGCTTTGCTTTATCCTTCTTGAATTTTTCAAATTTTCTAAATTAAAAAGAAATACATAGAATATTAGTTCGTTGATTTTCATTAACGATTTATTGTGCATACCAAAAATTTGTGTCTTTCAAAATGGATTGAATACTAAAATTTTCAAAATTCAATTCAAACTATTTGACATTTTAGCTTTTAAAATATGTAAAACTTTCCGAAAAAAAGAGCGATAATAGT